AATCCGAAGGGCATGACTTGATAGCAGTATGTTCCCTGCTCAATCACAAATGAGGTCTTATCCTGGTCTGCTGGATCTATCCTGATCTGATTATAGCCTGAGAAGGCATCCATGAAGTTAAGGAGCTCATGTCCAGCAGTGGCGTCCATTATTAAAACAATTCGAGGTAGAGCGAAACTGTCCTTGGGGTAGGCTCGATTGAGGTTAGTGAAATCGGTACAAGGTCGCCATTTACCATTGGCTTTCTTGACAAGGACCACGTTTGCTAACTAGATTGGGTAATGCACTTCTCTTATGGCTTTGGCGTGTAGGAGCTTACCGACCTCCATATCTTCTTGCTTCCAAGCGAACACTCTGATGTTCTCCTTGAGGAACTGAATGAGAAAATCCTTAATCTCCTTGCTCAGTTTGGATCCGACGTAGACAAGATGCTCTGGCTCCCCATCAAGTTGAACAGGCTCCAGCTCTTCCGACAACGTCGGCCTTGTATCCAGTTCATCTCTCATGTCGAGCTCATCTAACTGGATATGTTCAACTTCTTTTTGCTTCATCGAAGTCACGTAGCACTCCCTTGCTACCCGCTGATCTCCTCGGACCACTCCAACCCCATTTTCTGTTGAAAATTTCACAACTAGGTGATATACGGAGGGTATTGCCTTCATTACGTTCAGGGAAGGTCTCCCAAGCAGCATGTTGTACGCAGATGGTGCTTCAACCACCAAGAATCTCACGGTGGTAATGACCTAGTAAGGAGCATCTCCTATTGTGAGCACAAGCTGGATTGAGCCCAGAGATAATACCCTTTCTCCTGTGAACCCTAACAAGTGAGCACTTACTGGCTCGAGCTTCTCACTGCCTATTCCCATTTTGTCAAATGTTGAAGCGAAAATGATGTCTGCAAAGCTGCCATTATCAATCAGAACTCGATGAACAATTCTATTAGCCACGACAACTCTTACTACCAACGGGTCATCATGGGGATGCTGGTAACCCTCCAGGTCTGAATCTGAAAAGGTAATTGTTGTGCTCAATTGAGGTGTCTTGGATACAGTGTGCACCTTGGGCATTTTGTCAGTTATGATCCTTCGCAAGTATGCCTTTCTGACTGAACTAGACTCTCCCCTTCCAACAAATCCTCCTGATATCACTCTGATTTCCTCTAGGGGTTACTGGTGCTGCACAGGTGCTTGTTGTTGGGGTAGACGAGGTGGTGGAGCTCGGTTCTGATTATCTTGGGTTATATAATGGCGCAATTACTCTCGTTGGATCAGAAATTCAATCTCCTTCTTCAATTGAATGCAATCATCGGTGTGGTGACCATGATCCCGGTGGTACTCACAATATTTCGTTGGATCTCTCTTGGCTGGATCTGTTTTCATTCGAGATGGTCACCTTAGGAATTTCTCGTTCTGCACCTCATGTAGAATTTGTGATATCGTGGTTGTAAAAGGGGGGAGTTGTCGAGGTGCATACCACGGCTGCAACTCTGGTTATGGTGGTCCTAGCTGGTCCCTAACATCCCCCTTTCTCTTTGAGGATCGATCTTTGTCTCTTCTTGGAGACCTGCCTCTTCATTTTTCCCTTTTGGGACTTCCATCCCTCCTTCTATCTTCCTTTTCCTTGTCTTTTTTCCTGGATGAGCTCCCTACTTTTGAGAAAAGAGCTTCCTCACTATTAATATACTTCTCTACCTTGGCCAGCACTTCGGCCATGCTTGCCTGAGGGTTCTTAGAAATGGATAACATCAAGTCTTTGGATTGCACACCCAAACCTACTATAAACACAATGATTGCAAACTTCTCGTCTAGGAAATCCATTTTTAGAGATTCTGAGTTAAACCTTTGGACATACAACCTGAGGTTTTCTTGGGGTCCCTATTTCACATTCAAGAGGTGATAGCTCGACTTTCTGTAGGTTTGAGCTCCTATGAAGTGAGACATAAAGAAAATGGAAAGCTCTTTGTCATTCTTTTCACCCTCATGGTTTTTATTTTGTATTTCCTCATTGTCATCGTTCCTAGGGGGTAGATGGGGAATTTGCCCCAAGGTCTAGCTGTTTTTCCCTCCCTCATTGACTTCTCTGAGTGGGTCGAGGTGTTGATGTTCCCTGTGACGGGGATTGTTCTGGCCTTCTTGGGCCGGTCGTGCCTCCTGTGGGTGTTGTAAGAGCTCTTCGTTTTGTTTCAGCAAGCGTTGGTTGATGAGGTGAAAGGCCTCTATCTCGTTATTTGTGGGGGGATCCCCTATGGGAGGATTAGTCTCTTGGATGTTCTCGGGTTGTCTGTCGTTAGTGGTTTCTTGTTGATCCTGCACCTGCGGTGGGTTTGTTTGACTTTTGCTTATATTTCGTGTTGATACCATCAGTCACTGAAAGATCAGCTTACTTATAATAGGAACAATCGTTCCCACAGACGATGTCAAACTGATGATGTGAACCGATTTGTATGAGCAAAAGATTGAAATTTTGTCATGTAATGACGGTATAAAAATGAAAGGGATGTCTTTTTAGGGATTGAGATGATTGAAACAGAAGAAATATAGTGGTTCACCAGCTCGGGGAGCTCGGCTAATCCACTTTTTAATAGAGTCTCTTGCTCATTGCCTTTCAATAACGGTGATTACAAGATTACAATAGCTTTTTTCTGCCTCTAGGGTTCTCTCTTCCTTCTTTAGAGGCGTTACATAGTATTTATAGGACTGTTCCCTATTCAGTGGGATCTTGGCCGAGATCCTTGCTCCTCCCTCATAGAATCCTCCTTGATTTTAGGAGAAGATCTTGGTTGGTAGAGTGTTTTATGCTTTGACTCTTGTTTCCCATTGCTTAGGAGGTATCTGCTGTTATCTAGTGTTCCCCTGTTATTCCCGTTATTGCCTCGCCTAAGGAAAACTTCAGCTCTGGTCCTCTGAGCTCTACGTGTCTCGTTCAAAATCTTGATCTGACCTGACCTCCTGAGCTCGTAGTCAAAAATTTTAGGTATCATCAATAATAATTCGATTCGAATAACAAAATGTATTATAAAAATAAATATTACACATATATTATACTTATACTAAAAAATAAGTAAAAATATAGTATGGCCCATTTTTTTTCATTTTCATTTTTGTTTCTCTCTCTTGTTTGGTTTTTCCTCTTGCTTGTACTTCAATTTTTCATTTTCCCTCATCTTTTTAGTTCATTATCTAAATTTTTATTGTTAATTTTTTGGTGTACATATACTTTTTGTGATAATCGGATTGGATTTTGAATCATATTTTCAGAACATATTGGATTCGGATATGAATTGAAATTTTCAAATCCGCCAAATTATTGAACGATAAAAACTCAATAAGATTTGAATTCGGATATAGGACAATCCGGTCTATATCCAATTCGTTAACAGGCTTAATTGCAAGTGGTGGGTTTTGATGTGGAAAGGGGAGAGAGAGAGAGAGATGGCAAAGCAGAGGGTGGGCTGGCATGGGGGAGGTGCTGCCAGAGTGGGCTTTGCTATGGGAGTGGGCTGCGATGGTGATGTCGTAGGTGGTGGGTTTCGGTGGGAGAAATGAGAGAGAAAGAGAGATGGCCGGGTTGGGAGGGTATTTTAGAAATTAAAAGTTATAATTTTAATAGATTTTATTTCCACCAATAGCTTTGAGCGGGAGATTAACACCTTCCCTTAAATTAGCATTGTCCGCATATTTTTGCACTTCCTTTTTAAGTTGACAGGGGTTTAGTGCAACAGTTAAAATTACGGGGAGGTACGTGCAAATGAGCCTAAATATATGAAAGTTTTTTGTATTTTACCCTAAAAAAATATCAAATAATTTTTTTGATGATATGAGTTATGATTGCCAATAATTACATATTTAATGATATTTATTATGTTAAGATTTTTGTAATCGATATTAATTTGCATATTTTTTATTTTTTCTGTTCTCACATATAAATTTGTTTTGCAATTGGTTTATAACTAATCTTTATTTTCTACTATTCTATGTAAATAAATATAAATATGTATTAGCTTATTTTTATGGAAAAATTAATTAGAACATCCATAATATAAAAAAAAAAGATTTCAATAAACTCATTCAACGGTTTTAATTAAACTCATCCAACGGCTACCATAATCTCTCTTAAAACCATTCACATTGAATTTTTTCTCTCTTAAATTCATCACTTCTCACTTACGTTACACCGTACTTTTAAACACGAATTACCCCTAAGTGCACATAAAGTGTCCACCTAGAATATCATTCTTGGCTCCAACCCTGTCGGTAAGAGGATACAATTCAAATACACACACACACACACATAATTATATGATGAAATTGAATTCTTGAAAATTCATCTTTAATTGATTAAGTAACCAGATTAGATTTTTGAGGCAAATGTTATATTTTAACATATCCGAATACATAAATAGTCAAAACAACTCAACTCTTTCCCTCTAATTTTGAATTTTTGAATTTACAGATAGATTTAATTTTTCTTTGGGACATTGTAATTATATATATATATATATATATATATGGGAAGAAAGTGTCCTCAACTATTGAGTGCTATTAAAACATCATAAGTTGCAGCAAGTGAATCAACAATTGTAAATATTGCCTCGGAACATAATTAGATATGTAATCATAAACATTACAAAAAATATGAGAAAATTTGGCATTTAATTTTCGACGTTTAATTTAAACGCCACTAAAATTGGCATTTATTTATAAATACCACAAATTATTAATAAAAATAAAAAAAAATTTGCACTTAATTTTTGGCGTTTGTTTATAAAGCCACAAATTATTAATAAAAATATTTTTTTTTGCACTTAATTTTCGGCGTTTATTTATAAATGTCACAAATTATTAATAAAAATAATTTTTTTTTGGCGCTTAATCTCCGGCGTTTAAATTAAAAGTCACAAATTCTTAATTAAAAATAATAAAAAACTTTTTTTTTTCTCCACCAACATAAACCTAAAATTTTTCCCAATCTCTCGACTCGCTCTCTCTCTCCAACGAACCATGTCAACACGAGGAGGAGGAAGAGGAAGAGGAACAGAGCGCTTCGACTTCAATGGAGTATTGGAGGAAGGTTAAGGACATGGTGGGTGTGACGATAGCGACAGTGGTTAAACCCTCTCTGAATAGCGATTTTTCTCTTGCAAACTTCATTGATTTTTTTTATCCTGCGGAACTCCATTGATTTTTCCCTGGCGACATGCTTCTATTTCCTCTCTCTCTCTCACGTCCAGATCTATGAGTGTGTTTCAATTGTGTTTCAACATAAACCTAAACTTCATTGATACTCAAACACTCTCTGTCCAAAGTCGAATCTCATAAACACTCTGTTTAAATTCACTCGAACACTCATTCGAGACTACCTCAGGCGACAGGCAATTCCGACTACCTCAGGCAGCTCCAGAGTCTCCGGCGATTATCCAACTGAATATGTTTCAATTGTGAGAATCTGAATTTAAATACGCATGTTTAAATTACTGGTTTGATTACATATTTTCTACTTTCTCATCTCTCTCTCTGCCTCCCTCTGTCTCCTTCAAGTGAATCTCACTCACACACCTCCCCACCCTCCATCTGTTTGAGAAAATGCCTGAAAGAATTTGGTGTTGGTTTGGTCTCAATGGCAAGGAATATACTTTTCATCAAATCATCAGTAGCTGCTCCTAGCAGTCCAGCAACAATGTCATGAATTTGATTGTACATAATTATTAAAAAATTTCAGCTGATTACACATTTAATAATAAAATTTCAAATATTTTGTGGCAGTTTTTTAATAATTTCAGCTGATGATGTGACTTGAGATCCCTGCTTCTGAAGGCCATTTCAGGATAAGGAGTTAGAGTCCTAAATAATTCCTTGGACAGCTCTATGTGTTCCAGTAATTTCTCAAAAGTAAGTTCTCAAAAGTAAGAAGCTTGAGGTTAAGTCATTGAAAGCCCTTTCAAGAAGGGACTTTCAGTCACCATTCCCGTGTATAATGCTGTTTGAGAAGTAAAGTGTCTCCAAAGATTGTTTTTTCTTCCCTTTTTTTCAACTTAGCGGCTTTTGTGAAGATATTTACCATGGATAACTTGAAGAAAAGGTGGAAAACTATTTCCAATTGGTGCTATATCTGGGGATAAGTTGAAATTACATGATCTTTTTATTTTCCAGTGTGTGTGTGACTCCCTCTTTACAGGTTTTCATTGAAATTTTCCCATCACCTTTAGATTCTTAGAATCTCCTATGTATTGTAAGTCCCTAACATATATTCCTTGCTGAATTCTGATATACAGGTGTTACTGGAATACTCTGCAGCAGATTTTGCACCGAAGTTGTGTTGACGGACCATAACGAGGAGGTTCTCAAGGCAAGGTTATGAGATCAAATTTCATGCATATACATAATACATTTGGGAAGTTAGCTATCTGATCTTTTTTAAGGTGATCAGATTCTGATGAAAAATATCGGGTTCCATACATCTTCAGGAAATGCTATTTCTTGTGCAGGTATGAGAGCAAATTTTGCAAGGGTAGACGCTTATTTGGATAAGTTGATATCTTCTTGTTGTTTTATTGTTTGCAGGATTAACAGCAGAGAAGCTGGAATGGGGAAATTCTGATCAGCTCAACCATATTTTACAAGCATATCCAGGAGGATTTGATCTAGTTGTTGGAGCTGACATTTATATCCAAATCAGTTTTCTTTTCACCTTTAAAGCTTCATATGGTTATATGCAAAGTGTTAGAATGTGTATATGAACATTGATAGTGAAACCTTGTACACATGAGGCTCGCATGGTTCAAACCTTCATGCAATATTTAAGAATGTAAAAACTGCTAGACTAAGCCATAAACAATTTCTGCTAGTTTGGCTCAAAATTTTCAAGGATGCAGAACAACTTACTTGTAAGAAATCATTCTATTTTTATTTACTTCTAACCGTTCAAGATTAGATAACTTCTTTTTATTCAAAGCATGTAAATGACTTTTGGGGAATTAGGAATCATTCGGGTGAACATCATCGAAAAATCAAAATACATGACCAGCTTGTAGATAGAATCCGATGACTTTTTCCTTAGCATGTTGTTTGCAGTCTCATATTCATAGCTTGAAATTTCAGCTGAAATTATGAATTTGATTGTACAAAATATCTGAAAAATTACACATTGAACTTATAAAAACTTACTGGCATTTTCCATAATCATAAGATTTGATCGAAATGTACACTCATTCAAGGGAGAAAAGAAAATTCAGAAGAAGGGTAATGATGATTTTCAAATCAAGTACATATTATTCTGCCTTAAAATTGTTCTTTTCTTGTTTGTTCCAGTGCACACAGATTAGGAACAGCAGCACTGTCAGCAAAAGAACTGGAGGCTCTTCCATTTTGCGCCATTGCATATTCTCTGACTGATGTATTTGTTTCTCTGATTTGCTCAGTTCCGACAGTTAGACAAAGCTTGCTTGCAGAATTCACTGCTTTATATGGTCTTGTGGAGAGTTCTTGTTAAGTCTTTTATTTAGAAAGGCATGTGTGCCTTGCTTTTATTTTGTTATTTTGTGCGGCTACTGGTATCTTTGCGTGTTTTGGTATCTTCGGTCTATGTTGAATTTGCGTGTTTTGGTTGATGATAAAGGCTAATGCGTTTTGGCTTGGGTAGTGTTGATTTGTTTGCATTTTTGGAAGGAGGGCAGCTTTAATGTAGTCTTTGGACTGATTAATGGTTGCAGGCTGAGATTTTACTTGAAAAGGCGTCTGTGGCTGAGATTTCTATTTTTTAAAAAAAAATTACCGCCGGAAACTAGTTGATCATAAATAATAATTACTAGCGTTTAAATAAATGCTGTAAAATAACTCCGGTAACCGAAATTTATAATGAAGTCGTCGATTAAATAAGCGCCGCTTTAGAGTTTAGCAAACGTCACTTTAGTTTTTGTGGCGTTTAATTATACTCCGATAATTTTTCCGACGGAAGTTTAGACGACGTTAAAAATAAACGTCAATAATAATATTTTGCAGCGTTTATTTACATTTTAGCGGCATTTATTAAATGCTAGTAAAAGTCTTTTTTTTTGTAGTGAAACAATCCACATATATAGAGAATACAATTTCCATACTAAAACCTAGTTACATCACTTTTGCAAAATAGAAATTAGGCATACTTTTTGACTCTAAAACGTCACCAAATGGTACTAAATATTCAGATTAGGTTGTCCAGACCACTATCATGGTCTGCCGCGAATTAATGAAAGTTTGTGTCTACACTTCCAAACTTTTCTTCCCCACCTAGGCAGCCACCGCACAAAGAATGGTATAGTGAAGGCAATCCCCTGAAAGACATAGGTGCTGGCTTCTTTACTGATCTTGCTAACTGAAAATCCATAGGCAAACATCATGGAAAATATAGAAATCAGGAGCTCCCTTCGGAAAGGAAATCCACCGGTGAGGTATATTATAATGGTCAGTGATGCAGTAAACCCCAACGTATTTGCAAACAAAAAACACAATGTTGTAGCATGTGAGCCGAAAATTGCAGAGGTTATGGCACCGATGACCGTTGCTGCTGGCATTTCTGCCCCATGTGAAGATGGGCCTGGTGCGTTGGGAGCTTTGGAATCAGAATTTGACTGGTTAGTAGGAGGGTTCGTAACTGCTTGAAAGGTGACTGTGGCGATCAGTGTAGACACTACTAGCAATGCATTACGTGCCTCAGTTGGTGAATATCTTTGACCCTGAAACTTGAAGTATTTGAACCAATCTTTAGAAGATGTTTTTGATTGAAGCTCATGCTGGGCTTGTCCAGTTCCTGTGAAATGTTGAAGATAGGAAGTTGCAGAGACAGCATTTGCATGTTGAGCAGCAAATGCCCCAGCACGTTGGAGGATTTCTTTCAGGTGTAGATCCTTGGGACTTTCCATGACTATATCCAGTATATCCATTGCTGTCAAACCCTTCAGATTTTTAGCATTGACTTCCAATACCCCACTGATGGTATTGTTGTTGCTAAGCATAAATCCCATGGTCTGCATGAGAGAAACAATTGTAATGCAACATCTCATATATATTGTTGTCATATCATGTAAAAATAACCAAGAGAATCACATAATTTCTAGTGTATCAGAATGAGCAAGAGAAACCAATGCGGTTTAGCCTAGTTAGTAACTGTTGATTATCTTCGAATTCTTTCAATCAAGAGGTCAAAGGATTAGTCCTTGCTAAAGGCAAGCCTTGATTTCTTATAACCTCTCTTTGGGGTTTTTCTTCACCTCTCTGTGGAGTGTGGATGCATTTTCCACTGCTATAGACGCAATATTGTTCTTCATTACTCATCTCAGCGCGGCCAGGGTGATGGCAGACTCCAAGAGGGAACACTCCCTCAAGGTTATCACCATAGTGATCTAATTCATCAAAAATTTTAACAGATCATGACCTTAAAATTTAAAATTTGACTTGACAAAATTCAAACTGTCTTTGTTGTCATACAAATTCTGATGATGAAATTCTGCAATTCATAGAAAAGGGAACTAGTACAATACGTTTCTAGCAAGAATAACAGAGGAGTAAACTCTGCTTCTCTTACAATCATATGAAAAATTGTCAAAACAATTGAAAATTGCCAGCCCACAAAAAATTGTCACAAATAAAACAAAATAACGCAAAAAATAGAACAACAAAATCATCAAAATTCAAAAGGCAAATCGTAAAAGAGAGTCAAGGAAGTTTGATAGATTTGAACTTACGTCCAATTGCTTTCTAGAGGCTGCAAGGTGTAAAACCGCGTTGCCATCGCTATCACCGGAATTTATGATGGCCTCCATATTGAGTTTTCCGAGCCAGCTAACCAGAGCCGAAAGGCGTCGAATTGGTTGTTTTCCACAGCCAGATGAAGAGCAGTTTCCCCATGAACCGTGGTATCTTCAATAGCATGTGAGCAAGTGGAGAGCAATTCATCTATAACTTCAATTCTTCCCTTCATAGTAGCATAGTGAAGAGCTGTTCTTTGGTCTTTGCCTTTCAGACGACAAATTCCAGGATCTTTTTTCACAAGTTCCTTCACTAATTCCACGTTCCCCATCATTGAAGCTATATCCAGAGGCCGAAATAGATTTTTATTTAATTCTTTGGCTAGTTCATGATTGTGATTTATAAGCTCCCGTACAAAATCAACCTGTCCCGATTTCGTTGCAACATGTAGAAGAGACTCGCTTGGAGATGAAAGTGCAAAGTCAATAACCACACTTGGATTTTCTTTAAGGATTTTGCGAAAATCCTCAACATTTCCTTCCCAAGCAGTTTCAAACAGTACTTTGCTATCCATTTTTTGATCTTGCATGCAGAAGTAAAAGCTTTAGCTGAGCTGAAAGAAATTATTGCTGACAAAAGATTAGGTATGAAAACAAACCATTGGACTTTGTTATTGTCCCCCCCACCCCCCCAAAAAAAAAAAAAACCCGGAAGGTGGGCAATAGACCATCTATCAAGACTTTAAACCGATCAACCAATTCATGTGCAAAATAAATGTAAATTACAACAGAAGACAGAAAAATGAAGTGATCCAACCCACATACCTAATGAATATCAAAAAAATAAACTAAATATCAACCAAACCATTTACAAACTCAAAGTTTAAATAACATCATTCTCAAAACAATTAAATACAATTTCAAAACCAAAATTGACACTTAATCTCAAAATCACACACTGTAAAGTAGAACTTCACGTCCTCTACCCCTTGTTTGCCTCACAACTTTCTCCTCATCCTAATCCTAATCCTAATCCTCACCTGAAAATGTTAAATATTTTTATGAGCACGATAGCCCGTGAGTAGCAACCTTCTTTAGTGGGAGCGTGAAAATATGTCTCATAGTTTATATGTAAGAAATAAACTTTTATTACATACATTAGTATAATAAAGTGTACCCCAACCATTCCCAAATAATCATTTATTCATAAATGATCTCATGTTCACAAATACCCTTATAAATGACAATACATTTATAACTCACACACGTAAATACACTTAATTTCAAATATATTTGCTATCTCTAACCCAAGAGCTAGAACTCATCTCATTGTTTGTTAATTATCACTAACCGGGTAATTGGACCTCTTAATATTACTCTTCATTATTAGTCTGATGACTAACCCCTATATTGCATCTCTATGTTAATCTCACCGGTATCTCTCTAATCTTGTTACCATTCAAATCTGGTAATTCAATTCCCGTCGACATGGTTCTAACAAACAGACCAATATTATTATTTTAATTCCAACACATACAAATTTCTCTCTTTATCTCCAAAGCATATTAAAATAATAGAATAAAGTCACCCCACATATTTTCATCATTGACAATTGAAAATTATAAAATATTTAATTTCAACCTCAAACATTTATATAATAAAAACACATAGCAACTTGAATTTTTATTCCCTACATATTTTCCCTCTTAAAAATATCACATCACTAATTGTTATCACATGTCAATCATTTAATATTTAATTAATTTTTAATTTAACATAATTTTTATTTCAAACATATTGAAAAAATGTTAAAAACGATAGTATATATATGTTGAAAAAATTTAATATAATGAGATTAATTTTTTAGAATCTCAATTTTATATTCCATCGTAAATTTAAGCACGAGTTATGACTAGTCAATATATATATATATATATAACATATATACAAAATATTTATACATACCCACATATTTAATATAAGAAATTATCCTAAAAAAATAGTAAATTATTCACCTCCAAAACCACTTTGTTCCAACCTCAATATATATATATATATATATATATATATATATATATATATATCTTACCTCTCTTGAGCTTTAGTAGTTGCAGAGCACCACTTCTTCACCTTCTTCCCTGTTGGTGTATATGAGCTTTAGGAGTTGCAGAGCCCCACGTCATTCTCATTTTATAGACCCTTCTCTTTCATTATCATGCATTAATCATGACATAAACCTCACTTCACAAGGAAACATATGGCCGTTTTCCCTTTTACGACACCACAGCAACAACATTACATTTTTCCACGTGGGGCCCTCCACTTCATTTACTTTGCCCTTTGTTTTACCTTCCCGTGATATGCTTAACACCTTTTTCATGTTCTAAAATTTCACTGACAATTTTTGTCAGAATTTGTCGATTGACAGTATTAAGCAGACAGTTCTTTTATATTTTTTTGTCAATACAGATTTCATATATCCACCAAAATATATAACAATTATATATTTAATACATGAAAAACTTGTATATTTAATATATATAAAAAAATACATTAGTCTTAATATCTAAATTTTTAAATTTCAAATTCTGACGTTAAAAATTTATTTTCATATTTTGATCTCTCGCTTCAACGATATACCAATCTTAAAGACACACGAGGACTTTCACTGTCTTTCCATCCAATCAACTCCTATGTTCATCAATGACACGTCCAGCTATGCTAAAAATAGATTCGGATGCTACAGTCGACATAAGAACTATTAGTATATCACAAGTCATGGTGGAAAGAATTGGAAGCCTACTTCATATCCTTTCCACCATGCCAAAATATCAAAATCAGGATCTTCAACACCTATCAATGGAGTATTATAATATTGCTGAAATTCAATTAACCCCTTAGATATTGACATACTTCCTCTGGTCAAAATTGAAACTAACATAGATGTTTTATTTTTATTGTTATAGTATTACCAACAATATCACTAAAAGCTTAGGGGGATTAACTATACCACCACTCTCAAATGTTATATTATATTTATTAAAAAAAATTTAAAATAATATTTTATTTTATTTATGTGGTTCATGTGCTCATCATTTAAGTTACCATATAGAGACATAAAAATACTTGTAAGGCCAAATTCTTTAAGTCGATGGTCAATTAACATACCAAAACCAATAAGTATAGAAATGATGAGAAATATTTATTAAATTTATATTGCATATTATGTAAAATAGTAAAAAATTTGAATTCAGTACTATATTGTTCAAAAATATCACTGATACTAACTATATGAACATAGACAAGTATAATAGTTGAATAATAATTACCAGATAAAATCATAGTTACTTCATAAAAATTTTCAAAAAATCTTTCATTTTATCAGTGACATCTCATTTTTCTTTGGTGGGACGCAATAATGAACCAGTGGTATTTATACTAACATAGTCATTTAAGACAACTTTATATTTAACTGTCACATTTGTATTTTATAAGTGGAGTTCCACCTATGTTGTATATCATATATATTTTTTGGTATTTTAAATTATTCTTTTTACACATAGTTCCAAATGTCTGAAGTCTATTTTCAGAATCCATTATATGATAAATAATATGTCTAATTTTATCACTTACATTCCTAATATCATGGAGACCACTTATACTATGAGATTTATGATATGACACATACATCTCATATGGAAAAAAAATACTTTCACGTGGTAAAATTAAATAATATTTTAAATGACTTACAGTCTCACTATTATTTGTTACATTATCTAAAGTAATAGTAAAAATTTTATCTTGAATACGATAAATTTATAACTAATTATAAATAAATTCAAAAATAATTCGTGCACTATAATTATCTTCAATTCTTGTAAAAATAAATTTTTTTTTTGTATAACTCAATTATCATCGATAAAATGGCCGTTCGCTCAAATTAAATTGGTAAATTTATGACTGTCCTGTACAGTCGCAAGCAGACTGAAAATTTATGGCTATCTGTCTCATAGATCGTAAAGAAAATACATAGCCACTGTCCACTGAGTCTGTGACAGTCAGTCACAGACTGATAAACCCATTCAAATTCTCCGACTCATCTTTAAAAAATTTGAACTTCAACTCACCCACCAAATTCAAGTCTCACGTCTCACATGCAACCTAACATTCAAGTCTCACCTAGCATTCAAGTCTCCACCTCTCACACAGTCACACACATATCAACATAAACATATACGAGCGGGAATGGCTTTGGGGTGGATTTCGGGTTTTGGGTATGTGCGCGAGTTATTGGGCCAAGTATGTGGGTGAGTTATTGGGTCGATTTTAATTTCGGATTTTGGGTATGAGTTATTGAGTTATTGGGTCGATTTTAATATTGGTTTAAGCTCGGACGAGCTAATTATAAGATCTATCAAATTTCAAACCTATTTTTTTAAATTGAATAACAAAACTCGTGGATAACCTGACCACGAACACCCCTACCCGCCACCACCACTTTTTCTCCTTTACTTTGTTGGACGCTTGACAACACTCACCTACTTTCTCTTGCTTTCGGAAGTTGTGCATACCACACTCCACACACATGCACTCCTTTCGAATTATTTTATACCCGCTCTTTAAATCTCATTTCTCATATCATTTAATCTTCTTATTTAAACCTTTTAAATTTATTTGATCTATATTTATTAATTAAAAATTAAATTGATCTAATTTTATTTTAAACTATTATATAAGAAATTATCAAAATTTTATTTTGATTTATTATTTTAATACGAAAATATTTTAGAAACATAATAAAAATTAATTAAAAATAATAACTATTTTAAAATATTAGTAAAAATATACTACAAATAACTTAAACCATCTCAAAATATTTTAAAGACATTAGTGAAAATATATTAAAATATTTCAAAATATCTCGAAATATTTTGCAGATCACCTCAAAACATTAAAATTTCGCATCAATTTACTTTTTTTGTTTCGATTTCTTTGATATATATATATTTAATAATTAATTTGAATGGATATAAATTAGGCAAACTTAGTAACTAATAGGGTAAATATACATACGATAAATTTAATAATTTAAAATGAAATAATTAAATATGGTGAAAGAAAAGATTTAAAAGAGAGGAATAACCCACCCGGCAACCCCCTCTCTCTCTCTCTCAATTATTTTCTTAACCTCCCCATATCTCAATTTGTATATATAATTGGGCAGTTGTGACAAGTCAAGTTTGGCAGACCCATATGGGTCCAGACCCCATTCAATTCTTTCATACTTTTCTTCGCTGTTGTTCTTAAGCTGATTCAATCCAAGTCTTTGATAATTATATGGTTTCCGATTTGTGAAAGAGATGTCATGTATTGAGATACCTATGCACTGTCCATGTTGGGTCATTTCGAGTAATTTAGGTTCACATCATACCTCTATTATTAATTCAATCCATCTCTTTCTGTACAATTCATGGGCATTCGAGTGATTTAGGTTCCTTAACCTGTCGTTGGCAATTTTTGCCATTTTGTATCCCACCCCCCCGGTGGGTTAAAAAAAATCCAATAAAGTGTAGGATCGGTAATTAAATTGAAC